TCTTTGCCAACATCACAGTTCAAAAGCATCAATTCTTCAATGCTCAGCTGTCTTTACAGTCCAACTCTCACATCCATACATGACCACTGGAAAAACCATAGCCTTGACTAGGCAGACCTTTTTTTGGCATAGTGATGTCTCTGCTTTTTATTATGCTGTCTAGGTTGGTCATAACTTTCCTTCCAAGGGGTAAGCGTCTTTTACATAGATATTTACAATTGTTTTGTCTTCCTCTTGGATCAACCCCTTGATCATTATGTAGTATCCTTCCTTACCTCTTGTAATCTTCTTTATTTTAAGGTCTATTTTGTCTGATATGAAGATTGCTGCTGCAATGTTTTTTTGGTTTTTTTTTTTTTTTTGGCTTCCCATTTGTTTGAAATATGTTTTTCCATCCTCTCATTTTCAGTCTAAATGTGCCTTTAGGTCCAAAGTGGGATTCCTGTAGACAGCATGTATATAAGTCTTGTTTTTAAATCCATTCAGCTAGTCTGTGTCTTTTGGTTGGAGCATTTAATCCATTTACATTTAAAGTGATTATTGGTATATATGTTCCTGTTTCCATTTTCTTAATTGTTTGAGGTTGTTTGGGGTAGACCTTTTTTCTTCTCTTGTATTTCTTGACTAGATAAGTCCCTTTAACATTTGTTGTAAAGCTGGTTTTGTGGTACTGAATCCTCTTAACTTTTGCTTGTCCAAAAAACTTTTTATTTCTCCATTAATTTTGAATAAGATCCCTGCTGGGTACAGTAATCTTGTTTGTAGATTTTTCCCTTTTAGTAATTTAAATATATCCTGCCATTCCCTTCTGGCCTACAGAGTTTCTGCTGACAGATCAGCAGTTAAACATATGGTGTTTCCCTTGTATTTTACTTGTTGCTTCTACCTTGCTGCTTTTATTAATTTTGTTCAGTCTCTGTTAGTTTGATTAACATGTGTCTTGGTATGTTTCTCCTTGGGTTTATCTTGTATAGGACTCTTTGTGCCTCTTGGACTTGATTGACTATTTGCTTTTCCATGTTGGGGAAATTTTCAACTATAATTTCTTCCAAAATATCTCATACCGTTTCTTTTTCTCTTCTTCTGGGACCCCTATAATTTGAATGTTCATGTGTTTGATATTGTCCCAGAGTTCTCTGATACTATCCTCAGTTCTTTTCATTCTTTTTATTTTATTAAGCTCTTCAGAAGTTATTTCCACCATTTTATCTTCCAGCTCACTAATTCGTTCTTCTGCTTCAGATATTCTGCTATTGTTTCCTTCTAGAGTATTTTTAATTTCAGTAGTTGTTTTGTTTGTCTCTATATGTTTATTCTTTAATTCTTCTAGGTTTTTGTTAATTGTCTTGCATTTTCTCCATTTTGTTTTCAAGGTTTTTGATCATCTTTACTGTCCTTATTTTGAATTCCTTTTCAGGTAGTTTTTCTATTTCCTCTTCATTTATTTGAGCTTCTGTGTTTCTAGTTTGTTCCTTCATTTGTGCAGTGTAGCTCTGCCTTTTCATTATTATTTTTTAACTTATTGTGTTTGAGGTCTCCATTTCCCAGGCTTCAAGGTTGAATTCGTTCTTCCTTTTGTTTTCTGCCCTCCTAAGGTTGGTCCAGTGGTTTGTGTAAGCTTCCTATAGGGTGAAATTTGTGCTGAGTTTTTATTTGTGTGTCTGTTTTTCCTCTGATGGGCAAGGCTGGATGAGGTGGTAATCCTCTTTGCTGATGACTGGGTTTGTATTTTTGTTTTGTTTGTTGTTTAGATGAGGTGTCCTGCAGAGGGTGCTACGGTTAGGTGGGTAATGCTGGGTCTTGTATTCAAGTGGTTTCCTTTGTGTGAGTTCTCACTATTTGATTCTCTGGTAGTCTAGGGTCTTGGAGTCAGTGCTCCCACTCCAAAGGTACAGGGCTTAATCTCTGGTCAGGAGTGAAGATTCCACAAGTGGTTTGTTATGGCATTAAGTGAGATTAAAACAAATATCCAAAAATGAGAAACCAAAGATGAACCCGAGACAAATGGAAGTTATAAAACAGGCAAATAATAATTTAAAAATGAAATATACACATATACATATTCACCCCTGAGCAAAATCAAAGCAATCCAACAAAAATAAAGTACAATAGATTGACCTGGTTAACAACGGAAGCCAAAAATTATACCTTCCAGAACAAAACTAACGAAAGCACAAACTGGAAAACAGAACTAAAGCAAGGTGCCAATTAGGGAATAAAACAATGAAAATAAACCTAACAAATATGTTGAGAGTAAAGGACAGAAAAGAAAGAATAGATATGTAAAGTTAAATAGAGGTAGATGAAGATTTATATACAGTAAAGATTAACTTCAAGGGGAAAAGCAAACAAAGGAGTAAATGTGGGAAATTATAATAGGTTTAAAAATTAAAATTTTTTTAAAAAAAGTGAAAAGAGGGAAAAAGAAAAAAAGAAAGAAAACACCCCAGAGCTGCAAGAACCCAATGCAGAAGCAGAGGTTTATAATAGCAATAAAAATGTGACTGTGAAAAAGAAAAAGAAGCTTGAAAGCTTAATTAGATTTCATAGTGTCAATAAAATCGCCAGCTACCATAGAGCAGGGGGAAAAAGTGGCGGGAGGGGGGATCCAAAAGATTCTACAGAACAAGTCAAAACATAAGAATAATTAATGTTTTTCTTGGGTCACTGCTGTCAGAGTCCTTTCCCTCTCTGGGAGTCAGAGTCTGCCTCACCTCCCTAGGATACCTTCCAGCACTGTGCTGATCCCTGGAACTGCTGTGGGCGCAGCCCAGATTCTAATCTGGTCCTACTCCTGTGTGTTCTTGCCTCCATTCTCCACACTGTCAGAACTGGTGCATTTTGTTTTGTGGGAGCTCTCAACAACTTTTTATATATTCCATAGACACAGAGTCTGCGTAGTTGATTGTGTGGATTTAATCTTCATTTTGTACAGCTGGTGGGAAGGATTTGGGTCTTCTTCCTTAGTCACACTGCCCCTGGGTTTCAATTGTGGTTTTATTTCCACCTCTGCATATGGGTCCTCTACTGGGGTTATCCCCTGAGGCTGCCCTGGAGGACTTGGGTTGGTCCCTGTGAGTGATGGAGGTGGTGCAGCTGCTTGGGTGGCAGGGGTTCTGGCAGCACCAGGTCCTCAGGGGAGTTAGGAGTTAGGGTAGCAGGAAGTACAGTGCTCTAGAAGGGTATGGCAACAAGTATTGGCCAATACACTCCAGTATTGTTGCCTGGAGAACCCCCAACCCTGACATAGGAGCCTGGCAGGCCACAGTCTACAGATTTCAAAGAATCAGACACTACCAAAGTGACCCTGTATGCATAGATGCAAGACTTTTTTTTGCCTGTGGCAGCTCTGCCCCAGTGAGAGTTGAGCGTGAAGGTGGAAGAGTTGCTTGGCTCCCTGGGACCCTGACAGCACAAAGTGTGCAGAGACACGGACTGCCTCCGGCGCAGAAGTTATGGCCCTCTCAGAGTCTTTTATTTGAGCCTCTGGTAGCTGGTGATCAGAAAGCCTGTTTGGCCAGTCTTTTCCGTAGCTCCGCCCGTTTAGGCCCTTGGAGGGCTCCCTTGCCTGGGGTCCTTCTCTGTTGCTCTGCTTGTCAGGCACATAGAGGGAGCTCCCCCCTGTCTGGGGTCCTCCTCTGCAGAACAGTGCATCAGGCGTTTGATGGGCCAGCCTCTTTATTGTTCATCTGCTGATGCTGGTGTGTGGCGAGAGAGAGGCCATGGTGATGGGTCCACCCCCTACACATGACTCAGCAGTATCGCCTTGCTTCCATGGCTGCCTGGCTTTACTCCACAGGTGTTTCCCACCATGATCTCCTTCCTCACATACCCTTGATCTGTCTCTCCGCAGTCAACAGCAGCCCTCGCCCTGGGATTGCTCCACAATCCCTAAACTCTGGCTTCCAGCCGTTGTGCCTTCCAGGGACTCTCCTCCCTGTCTGGGGTGTTTATGGCTGAGGCAAGGACTGCCTGATTTTCATTCCATTTAGGCTGCCACAGATCAGCTGTTTCAGTCTCAGCCTTAAATGTTTCCCCTCTGACTCAGACAATTGCCCCCATGTGGGGATGGGACCCCCCCGGTTCAGTTCCCCCACTGTGGAGGGCAGGTACAGTTCTATTAACACTCTTGTTTCTCCCCCTAGTTCCTTCATCCTACCGAGTTTTGCGTGGGTCTCTATATGCTTTTCCACTGGTCAGGTATTCCTGTCTGCTCTCCGCTGGTGTTCTGCCTGCACTTCTGTGTCTAAAGGTGTATTCCTGATGTATCTGTGGAGAGATGCACTCCATGCCCACCTACTCCTCCACCATCTTAATCTCTATTGTTATCCCACTCCAGTATTTTTTCCCCCTCTTTGATTTAATTTTATTATTTAAATTTGTAAAAATTATCATGTTTCAGAACACAGAAAAATATAAAAAACCACATTCAGAGACATCTCCCATATCAAGCCCAGCCCCATCCCTTGATCTCCCAATAAATAGCACTTTTCATTGGCTTCCCTGTTATCTTCCTTTATTTCCTTTCAAAAATATAAGCAAACACAAGTATGTACTCTTACTGCTCTCTCTTCTTTATAAAAAAGGGTAGAACACTATATATTCTTGCCTGGGAAATTTCCATGGATAGAGCAGCCTGGTGGGTTATAGTCCATGGGGTTGCAAAGAGTTGGGCATGACCGAGCGCACACACATTCTCTATTTTTTAACATTGGAGAATACTGCTGCAATTTATCACTCAGCATTTGTGCATGAAGAATCACACAATAAATCATTATAAAGACAGGCGAAGAGTTCCCTGATGGTCTAGTGGTTAGGATTCTGGACTTCACTGCCATGGCCCAGGTTCAATTCCTGGTTGGGGAACTGAGATCCTCCAAGCCAGACAGTGTGACCAAAAATAAAATAAAATAAATGGCCATAATGGTTGGAACATTTTACAAAGAATACCTTAAAGACAGGCCAAGCTCATATGCTTTCTGGTGTGTGTTCTTTTCCAGGTCAGAACTGCGGGGGCTTAGTTCAGGGTCCCAATGGCACCATCGAGAGCCCAGGGTTCCCTCACGGCTACCCCAACTATGCCAACTGCACCTGGATCATCATCACGGGGGAGCGCAATCGGATACAGCTGTCCTTCCATACCTTTGCTCTGGAAGAGGACTTCGATATTCTGTCAGTGTATGATGGACAGCTCCAACAGGGCAATCTGAAAGTGAGGTAAGGTGTCGGCTCTTCCTGTTACAGACCAGGTGGCAATGTTTGACATACTCAGATTCTAAAACTTCATTGGGGTTAACATTTGAATTTAATGATCAGAAAGGAACATCTTAGTTACTATAAAGAAAAAGTAAAGATTGGGGATGTGTGCACCATGTTTTCAATCCCTAAAAGCACACCTTCTTACTGAAAGCAATCACTGAGTTCATTAATAGATATCAAATTGTTCAAGATGGGTAAAACAGTGTTGCTAAGGTAATTTAACTACAGTTACAATACACCATTGTTTTTAAGCAACTGTGTGTTTGAGAGAAAAAGCACAAAGGTACATGTCTGAGTACAATTTAGAGAACAACAAAAGGAACCTTGATATCGTCATAGAATATATTCACTACAAAGGATATAGGAGGTGGGTGGGGTTAAAGCATGGAAAAATATTGCGCTCTGGAAAAATTTTTGTTTGCACCATCATAATACATCCCATTGCTCATTAGCTTTCTCTTTTGATATATGATTTTTCACTATGAAGAAAGAATAATATTTCCTGGGATGATTGTAAGTTATATTTTTAATTTATCACCAAGATTGTATCTGTGCAATATATCCATCTTTTTTTTTTTAAATTTTGGCTAAGGAATAAGGACTATCCATTTCAAAGACATTGGAATTTCTTAATATATTAATAAATATATAACATGAATGTATATGAATATTAATGTATTAACTAGCTAGTCAGTATGTTAAAAATAGATTATGTCTATATGTCAAACTATTTTAATTGCATTTCTTTTATGCATTTTCAGATATAAATCACCTTATAATTTTTTCTGATCCATCTCCGGTGTTACTGTCTGATTTTCCAGTTGTCCTTTCTGAGACATACTGCATATGGCTACCTCCTTTATGGACTCCTTAGCCAAGCTTGCTTTCTGCTTGTCAAGGATGCATGGGCCAGTGTGTTTGAACAAAGTATCTACATAGGCAGTACTTGTTAATTTGATGCAAGATTTCTTAATCTCTCTGGTGCTCTTCTATTAGTTATTTACTAGTTTTTATTCCACATAAATGATTCTACTAGGGAATAGTGCTATTTTGTAATAACAGAGAGAGTTGTAATAAAAACTCCAAAGAGTTGTGACAAAAAATAGATAATCCAGTTAACTAAAATATTAAGGCATATAATTCTGTGTTGAAAGTAATTCTTTCTCTTTTGATGAGAAAACAAAGCCTATTGCATATGGAAGTAAAAAATATTTCTCTGTGAGGAAGAGTGCCCAGCTCTTGCATGGTAACTTTCCCAGGAGTAGTCTCAGATGCAGCCAGATCGATCATCTGTTGAATGTGATTTTTAATTTACTGTACAGCTGAAAGCACTCCTATTCTGAGGGAGAAACTGCAAATGATCTTCAAATCTATTATTTTAAAATATCCAAGGTCATTTTTCTGCACTCTGTAGGTTCAGGCATTATTTGGGGTTGGGGAAGCAGTTTCCAAAGTAATTAAATAATTACATAAACATCTGTTGTTATAAAACAAACAGCAAAAAAAAAAAAAAATCTGTTAGTATTTCCAATCCCTATAACTCTTGTAATTTCTATAATTCTATTCTATTCTAAAGGAAATCTATCTTAAATATTAATTTTCTCAACTTTGATGTTGTTTAGTTGCTAAGTCATGTTCAACTCTCTTGTGACCGTATGGACTTTAGTCACTGGTCTCCTCTGTCCATGGGATTTCCCAAGCAAGAATACTGGAGTGGGTAGCCTTTCCCTTCTCCTCTTCCTGACACAGGGATCAAAGCCAGGTCTCCTGCATTTCAGGCATTCTTTACCATCTGAGCCACCAGGGAAGCCCAATCTGTCTTTAAACCATTTATTATTCCCTTAAGTTTTTAAGTTGATACTATGATCATTTTATATGTTAATGAACGCCCCTGGTGGTTCAGACCATAAAGTATCTGCCTGCAGTGCAGGAGACCTGGGTTCAGTCCCTGAGTCTCCAGGGAAGATTCCCCTGGAGAAGGGAATGGTTACCAATTCCAGTATTCTTGCCTGGAGAATTCCAGGAGCCTGGTGGGCTATAGTCCACGGAGTCACAAAAATTTGGACACGACTGAATGATTGACACTTACATCTTAATAACTATAACGTTTAGGAAAAGGCATACCTGCCATCTTCAGTTTTATAACAGGATCAGCAGTAGAAATATTAAGGTTAGAATAGTTTGATTCATTGCATTTTATCCTGAGGTATTTTATTAATATTGGTGAGTTATATGTGTGAAACTTGATTCTTACTCACTTAGCTGTTTTAGCTAGAGAAAGTAAGGAAAGCTGATAAGAAAGAAACTGCTTGGGTTTGTATGAATTACTCAGTTACTTATAAGTATTCGAGATGAATAACAAGTCACAATTCTATGTGTTTCTTGTCCTTACAGTAAGGAAGATGTTTTTGTCTTTCTATTAAATGATTTAATTTTTCCTCTGAACTCCATAGTCAGAATGCCTCTTTGAGTGGACATCCTAATAGTACATTATAAGTCTTCTTGGCCACAGAAGTGACCATTTCAGGTGTCCTAACAAATTCCCAAAGCATATCAGAAACAGTATTCCAATAATAACTGCCAAGCACTATGATGTGTGCTGTGCTTAGTCAATCAGTCGTGTCTGACTCTTTGCGACCCCACAGATTGCAGCCCACCAGTCTCCTCTGCCCATGGGGATTCTCCAGGCAAGTATACTGGAGTGGGTTGCCATGCCCCAAGGGTCTTTACACATATAAAATTTGAATCAAGAATGATGTCACATAGGAAACAAATAATGTTGTGAAATAGGAAAAATAATGATGTAAAATAGAAAATGTTCTTATTATTTGGGCAAATATGTGAGCAGGTTGTAGTATTTCAACATTAGTTCATGGACAAAATAGTTGTATAATAATAGTATTGAAATCTAATTAATAAGGTTGAGGTGGAGACTCCAAGGCTATTTGTTTCCCATTGTATCTTGGAACAGTAGTTCATTTCTCAAATGCAATTAAATCGCACCCAGAGCATCTCTGGAATTCAAACAAAGGGCACCTTTGTGAGAGACTTGATGTGCGAGTTGCCGATTCATTCAGTTGTCAGGAAGGTTACTACTTAGAGCTGCCATGGTCTCTGTTGTGTCACTTCTGTACAAACATTGTTTTTAGCAGCTCAACATGTGCACTAACCAAAAATTGACAGTTGTATAATATTAAACAACTTGATCATTTTACTATAAAGAAATGTATTTTGTGAAATACAATAGATAAACATTTTTATATAAATTACATAAGATTTAGATGTAATCCCCAGCTAACAAACAGAATTTGAGGTTAAGAATTACTCATGTTTATGTTGTAACTTGAAATTTAGTAAGAATATGTGATTTACCCTATGTAACAAAAAAACTTTAAATAAAGCAATAGTGTACAGTGTATGTTTCATTTTGGATTATTTATATGAAACAAACTCATATATGATTTATATATCCGTCAATAAATCAACTTTTACTATGGGGCTATTGAGCGTTAAATGAAGACTTCTTGTGAGCACAAAAGAAACAATTGGACTCAAAATTAGAAATAGAAACCTGCTCCTAGATTATCTAGAATTAAAACCTTAGTTACTCATTGTTTTTTAATTTTTATGGGAGTATAGTTGATTTACAGTGTTATATTAGTAAAGTGAATCATTTATGCATTTGTACATATCTACTATTTTTTAGATTCCATTCCTATAAAGGTCATTATAGAGTTTTCCCTGGTTTATACTTTGCTTTCCTTTTGGCTCAGACAGTAAGGAATCTGCCTGCCATGTGGGATACCTGGATTTGATCCGTGGGTTGGGAAGATTTCCTGGAGGACGAAATGTCAACCCACTCCAATATTCTTGTCTGGAGAATCCCATGGACAGAGGAGTCTGGCGGGCTACAGTCCACGGGGTTGCAGAGTCGGACATGACTGAGCGACTAAGCACAGCACAGCATTTCACATATAGTAGTGCATATGTGTCAGTCACAAGCCCCCAAGTTGTCTGTCCCCCCTTTTCCTTCTTTGTAACAGTAAGTTTGCTTTCTACATGTGTGACTCTATTCCTGTATTGCAAATAGATTCAGATGTACTATTTTCTTTTTTTAGATTCCACATGTAAGTGATATCATGCAGTATTTGTCTTTCTCTGTCTGGCTTACTTCACTCAATATGACAAACTCTTAAGTCCATAAATGCTAATGCCAATGGCATTTTGTTCTTTTTTATAGCTGAGTAATATTCTATTGTGTGTGTGTATATATATACATACCAGATCATATTTACCCATTCCTCCATGGATGGATATTTAGGTTGCTTCCATGTCCTGGTTATTGTGAACAGTGCCACTGACAAACATCAGAGTATATGTATCTTTTCAAATTATGTTGTTTTTTTTTTTAAACAGATATGCCCAGGAGTAGGACTGCTGAATAGTATATTCTACTACTGGTAGATAGCAGTAGTATAATACTACTGCTGGTAGCTCTATTTTTAGGTTCTGAAGGAACCTATATACTGTTCTCCATAGTGGTTGCATCAGTTTCTTTCCTCCAAGAGTGTAGGAGGGTTATCTTTACTCTCTGCCCTCTCTAGCATTTATTGTTTGTGGATTGTTTGGTGATGACAGCACTGGCTGGTGTGAGGTGATACCTCATTGAAGCTTTGATTCGAATTTCTCTAATATTCAGTGATGTTGAGCATTTTTTTCCTGTGCCTCTTGGCCATCTGTGTGTCTTCTTTGGAGAAATGTCTATTTAGATCTTCAGCCCATTTTTTGATTTTTTTTTTTTTTTGAGCTTCATGAGCTGTTTTAACATGTTGGAAGTTAATCCATCATTGGTCACTTAATTTGCAAATATTTTCTTCCATTCTGTGTGTTGCCTTTTCATTTTGTTTATGATTTCCTTTGCTGTGCAAAAGCTTTAATTAGGTCCAATTTGTTTATTTATTTATTTTTTAAAGTTTTCATTACTGTAAGAGGTGGATCAAAAAAGATCTTACTGTGATTTATGTCAGAGAGTGTTCTGCCTATGTCTTCCTCTAAGAGATTTATAGTATCTGGTCTTCCTTTTCAGTCTTTAAGCCATTTTGAGTTTATTTTCTGTATGATATTAGAGAATGTTCTAATCTCATTCTTTTACATGTAGCTGTCCAGTTTTCCCAGCACCACTTATTGAAGAGATTTTTTTCTCCACTTTATACTCTTGCCTCCTTTTGGTAGATTAATTGACCATAGGTGTGTGGGTTTATCTCCAGCCTTTCTCTCCTGTTCCATTGATCTATATTTCTGTTTTCATGCCCTTGCTGTTTTTTATGAGCTGTCATATTACTGCTGTTTTTTAAGTCTGTGGCCATATTGACTCTGTAGTTTCTCTTGATTCTCAAATCTCCATGGAAGTCCCACCAGGTGGTCATAAAACCCTAAACATCTTATTTTGCAGTATCTCTTTTTAAACCACAGCCTGTTTTGATGCTCACAGAAAATGCTCCATGAAGGCCCTGTCCTGCCCGAGGCTAACCCTCCATAGGGGGTGACTGTGACGGAGACAAGGACACGTGGCCTCAGGCTCACCCCCTCTAATCCTGAAACGGCCGCTGTGCTCCTGTCTGCATTCTGTGTTGCCAGTAAGAAGAATGCTCTGGTCAACGTGACCCTGATATTAAAGGAAGCCTCCAACCTGACCCCAAACTGTTAAACATGTCTGCCCTCCAGTCTCTTCCGTGTGTCCCCGGCAGTGTTTCAGTTCACTCCGGCTGCTATAACAGGATATACCGTGGACTGGGGGGTTTAATAACAATGGCCATTTATTCCCCATAGTTCTGGAGGGAAAAGTTCAGGATTAAGTTGCCAGCAAACTTTGTGTCTAACGAGGGCCTGTTGCTTTGTTCATGGGGCTATCTGTGTCTCTGCTCTCAGGGTCTTCCGGTGGTAAAAGGGGCTGGGGAACTCTCCAAGTTCTCTCAGAGAAGAATGCTAATCATAGTCATGAGGACCCCACCCTCCCTAGTGTTAGTCACTCAGTTGTGAATGACTCTTTGCAATCCGTGGACTGTAACCTGCCAGGCTCCTCTGTCCATGGGATTTCCCAGGAAAGAATGCTGGAGTGGTTGCCATTCCCTTCTCCAGAGGATCTTCCTGACCCAGGAATCGAACCTGGGCCTCCTGTATTTCAGGCAGATTATTTACCAGCTGAGCCACCAGGGAAGTCCCTCACCCTTCTGGGAAGCCCCGCACTCTCCCTAATCACTAACCACTTCCTAGAGCCCCCACCTTCAAATGCCAGCACATTAGCAGGGACAGGGTAGAATGTGAGTTTGCAGAGGGGGAGAACAGATGTTCAGTCTATGAATATATTTTAGGGAACATATTTAGTTAAATGGGTCAATGAGTTATTCCTTGCTCTGACCTTATAAGAAAATATAATATACTACAATATTCCTCATCTTTCACTCTGCTTGCCTAAGTTATATTCAACTTTCAAAACCACTTGCATATTATATTTATTAATATTTCACAAAATTGTTCCTGTGCATCCCAAGTTAAAAAACAACACCCCTCTAACAGGTCTTTTTTTTCTTTTTATTCTGAATGCCTTTAGCACTTGCTACTAACATAGACCTTGAATCATGTACTCCTTTGAAATCACAGTATCTCTGATGTTGCCTTTCTTGAAGGTTGTATGTATCTTTATGTTCTAATATGGCAAATAGAACATACATCCTCCAAGGCCAAGAACTGTTCTGTGACTGTCTTCTCTGGTGACAACAGATACTTCAGTTCAAAATAGTCAATAAATCTTCATGGAGCAGTTTTGATTTAATCTATTCCCAATTCAGGACCACCCCTCACTCAACTCTGTGAGTCTAACCCAACATGACTTACATATAACTCTCTCCTATAGGTGAGCATAGAGACAGTCATATCTTGTAGACATTTGAAGTTGTATTTCAATTTGTCCCCAAATCTAAAATAATTGAAGTTGACATCAATTTCCAAATGTGATAACATTATAATATCAAACTTGGAAAATAAATCCCATTATAACCTTAAAAAGTGAATAAAAGTGGACCTATGAAGGAATACTGTGCCATGCAGAAGTGGAAAATCAATATATTTATTCCATGATTATTACAAGTCCTAGGAAAATAGCTGTGACAGACTTCTTTACTCTATATTCCTCTCACTTTTACAGGATTAGCCCTAATTTTCTGCAGTGATGGTGATGAAGAGGTAAGAGATGACTGATAGGGCCGTGAAAGTCAGGAAATCATGACTGGGTGATGCTGAGGTATCAGTCTTGTTTTGCTTTTTTCAAAGAAATGTGGTTGAATGTATTACCAAAGAAATTTGTATAATATTAACTATCTGGTGATTTTTTTTCATTTATTTTTATTAGTTGGAGGCTAATTACTTTACAATATTGTAGTGGTTTTTGCCATACATTGACATGAATCAGCCACGGATTTACATGTGTTCCCCATCCTGAACCCTCCTCCCACCTCCCTCCCCATCCCATCCCTCTGGGTCATCCCACTGCACCAGCCCCGAGCACTTGTCTCATGCATCCAACCTGGACTGGTGATCTGTTTCACACTTGATAATATACATGCTTCAATGCTATTCTCTCAGATCATCCCACCCTCGCCTTCTCCCATAGAGTCCAAAAGTCTGTTCTATACATCTGTCTCTTTTTCTTTCTTGCATATAGGGTTATCGTTACCATCTTTCTAAATTCCATATATATGCGTTAGTATACTGTATTGGTATTTATCTTTCTGGCTTACAATGTTTAAAACTTGGGCTAATAAGGGGGTTTGGTTGCATTTGTATAAAATTAGGCTAGAGGCCCAGCAGTGTTGAAATTCCACCCTCCTCTTCCCCATTGTCATTATGAGGTCCTAGGGAGCCATTCACAGACCCATAGTCAGATAAAAATCAAAGCATCATTTTATTTTTAGCTTGACTGGTGACTAACGTCCCATGTAAGACTCTTAGAAACACTGGATGAAATAATAGGATAAAAGCTTCTGGAGTATTGTATTCATACCAACATCTTAGCATCTCATTGCATGCGGCCAGCCATGTGGTCAGGGACTAGAAGGGATGGGGCAGCACC